AAAATCCTTTGGATTGTCATATATGATCAATAAAAGCAGGGCATGTGGTATGATCGTCAAAAAAAAAAAAAAAAAAAAAAAAAAAAAAATTTAAATTGAATTAGAGTTGGGTTTAATAGTTTAGTTAATAAGCTTGAATTGAGAATTAAAAGTTCAAGTAATGTAAAATTTGAACTAAATATTTTTAAAAAGATTATTTAAATAAGTTAAAATACTACTTGGATAAAAATACATAATTTTAATTATTATTTATTTAAAGAGTTTTTGTTTGAAATTATATATTTACTATTAAAAATCATGAATTTTTTAAAAAATCTATAAAGTCTTAAAGTTTTAAATAATTTTTAATAATGTAACCGATAAAAACCATTGTTTTTCATTAGTTCTATTCAAATTACTAGTTAGAATTTTTTTAAAATGTTTATGATTTAAAGTTATAAGGTTTAAAGCTATATATATACTATGTTTCAAATTTTGCCATTTAATATAAAAATTAAAATAATTTTTTAATTTTTTTTATCCAATCAGAATTAGTATATAACTCATTCTGATAGGCTAAAAAGCGTTTATATACACCCCAAATTTGGCACATTTTTTATATGAAGTGACATGATGCACCATAGTTCAATTAGGATTTTAATTTGATGTATGGTATTATGAAATTTTGTTATAAAAATTATTTTGCTTCAAATTAATAGCAGTCCGATAAGGTGCACTTATTGGAGGTTGTAAAGGATCCAAACTTTTTTTCTGTAATGTAAATAATTTAGTTAAAAAAATAATTTTAATTTTCAAATAGTTACGGTAATTTACCTCAAGCGGGTAAGTCATGTCTGAATCAAATCCACTGGATAAAAAAAAAAAAAATCAGTGATATCAAAAAAAAAAAGGATATTCATTAATATTTACTAGACTATTATTTATATACCTTAAATCACCACAGGCTATGAATGGCACGATCACACGATTTGGGCCCAAAAGTTCATTTCCTGATCCTTAATAGAGAATTGAATAAGTTAATTTTATTATAAAAAAAAAGGCATTACATTAAATTACAAACCGTATGATAAATCAAGCAAAGGATCTATCATTGTTGGTTTATAATCTTTGGGTGGTGTATAATTTTGACAAACAATAAATGCTTCTACAAAATATTAAATTCAAATATGAAACTTTGAACCGAAATCTCAAATCAAATATACCAAATAAATCGTACAGACCAATACTGGAGTTTCTTGAGCTTCTTGGCTTGCTGCAAGTAACGGTTGGAAAAAAGATTTTAAGTTGAGCATATAATAGAGTGACATCTTTACCGCGAAAAATTTTTGCCACAAAAGTTCCACCAGGTTTCAGTATATTAGTTGTGATATTTAAAGCTGAAAGTAATAATTGTGCTTGAATATATTCATCCATATCATGAAGGCCAGTCACTTTAAAATGATTAGAGTTAGAATAAGAAAAAAAAAAAAAGAAGATAATTTAGTAATTCAGAAAATGATATACCATCAGGTGCACCATCACAGACAACAAGGTCAGCCAACTCTCCTTCAAAACGTGAAACAATTTGTTCTGCAGTAGATACTTTTGTAATGTCTCCTTGAATCTGAATTACACCTTCAAGAGGTGCCTAAAATGAATTAGAGCAGAATTAAAGTATAAGTTGTTCAATTCTTAATAACTAGACAATTATATGTACATACCATTGCTTGCAGATCTACGGCAACAATCTTTGGTAACGGAGCATCTTCTGGACGAATTTCACTGTCATAAAGATATTTGTTGATCATTTTTGATTTTTGTTCAATGATTTTAAATATGTGAACATACTTTAGCTTTTTTGACAAAACTTGAGACCAACTGCCTGGTGCAGCACATAAATCAACTGCACGTTGAACGCCTAAACTTTACAATGAATATGCTTTGAAAATTTTTATAGTTCAAAAATGATGGTGAAAAATTTAACCAATCACCTTCAAATATATTAAATTCTTCGTCAATTTGTAATAACTTAAATGCACTACGAGCTCGCCAACCTTGCTCTTTTGCTAATCGATAATAAATATCACGTTTATCCTTGGATGATTTTCCCATTTGATTAACGAAAAATACAAAATCGATATGTGCACCTCTATTCTATTTTAATCATCAAATTTTGATATTGTGCGGGGACGTCCCCCAAAACCCGTTCGATTATGCCCAAACCCTATAGATTGGGTCTTGGTACATTCTACAATTTAGATGTAGTAGCAAGATACAAGTATAATCATGAAAGATGCACAGTCAGGAATTGTTTTAAGTGAGAGCAAATCTTATTCATATGGATTTGATTAAATTAGAATTTTAGGAATTTAGGGTAGAATTTATTTTATATAAATCTACACTCTAACCCTAAATCTTAATTTCCAAATCTACCTACCTGGACATAGTCAAAATGCCAATGTGCACTACTTTAATTAAATTCTCTAACGTTATGAAACTATATACTGTAAAGTAAAATTTAGGTTTAATTTTTCTTGTCTTCAAAGTTTTAATATCTTAAAAATACTAAATCCCTTATATTGAAGTTTAAACCCAAAGCATTTTAATTTTATTAGGAAAGTAGTAATCCTATTATTATTACTAATATTGTAATCGAAGTTTTTATTCATAGAACAAGTTGACATGTTTTTTAATCGATTAAAAAATTCTTTGATAAATCGTAAAAATATCCAGTTCATTTGTCAGTTTCGTTCGTTAAATGTCACGAGGGCAAACATTTTAATTGTAATCAAAACTTTATATGCAAAAAAACATGAAGCTGAATACAAATCTGGTTTTTCTCATTTACAGTAGAATATGAGGTTAAACTGAAATAATATTCATAATTTTTCACGCATTTGTTTAGGTTCACATGGTATTGGTAACTAACGAACCAGGTAACTATGCAACATCAAATAATTGAGGCTATCTTGGATTCGAGCATATCATTTGTTCCTATTCAAACATTAATCAAAATCGACAATTGGACAATATACAAGTTTCAACATGTGATCAATACGCGCAAAAAAGTATATAAGAATCATTTTTTCATCTTTTCTGTTTTCACCAAATTTTTTTTTCCTTTTAATATTTTTCTCCTTTAATAATCCTTCACACTTTAATATACACTTTTTTTAAAGATATCTTAACGTTCTCTGAGAATATCCAGACCAGATGTTTTAAGCCTTTGATCCCAACGTTAGGATATTTTTAAAGAATATTATAACATTTTTTATTAATTATATTCGACATTTATTTATTTCACCCTTTTGTTCTTTTCGAGCGGGTCACGTTTTGACAATATTAAATACTAAGAGTATAAAGTCAAAATCAAATTCTACTCAAGAAAATTCTATATCTTAAAGAATAAAATACAATTCCACAAAAGTAAATTCAAACTCCAAAAATATAAAGTTAAAACATGGACCTTAAAGTCAAAATTGACAAGCGACGGGGTTATCTAATCGGTTCTTACTCGAGGGACTGGCGTTTGATAAAATTCCCAGCTCATTTGGGTTTTCGCGAGTTCTTTGTCAAAACATTTTTATTTTTTTCTCGTGTTCCTTTCGAGCGGGTCACGTTTCGTCAACATGAACTTTAAAGCCAAAATTGCAAGCGGCAGGGGTTATCTAATCAGTTTTTGCTCGAGGAACTAAGGTTTGATAAAATTCCCAGCTCACTTGAGTTTTCGCGATTTCTTTATTGAGAAATAACAAAAGAACATAGTAAAGTACGTTATCAAAAAGAGTAATAAATGAGAAGAATAGAGCGATTAGAGCATTAAAAGATGAGATATGGGAGAGGAAATCAGACTTGGAAGCAAGAGAAATGAAGAATCGTTGGAAAGAAGAAATTACATTTTCCCTAGTCACAGGATACACCTCTACGTGGTGACTGGGACAAGTAAGCTAAAACCAAGTATCCTTCTACAATAAAAAGATATAAAGTATTTTTATCAGTATTGTGAAAATAGTACAGTCGAAACTAGTAAGAGGTTATACAGTATATAGTACAATAATAAAAAAATGTATAATGTATATATGTATATAATATATTTTAAAATAAATAAACGAAACAATTGTTTTTATACTATTTCGCAACACTTTTTCCGAATAGAAATTATTCCTTCACTGCGAATCAGTTATAAAATTTTACGTTTATGCAATTTATGTAAGTTCTTGACAAATCTTTCGCCAACATACAGCATTTTATATAAGTTAGTTTACCTGTTCATTCGCAGACAAACAGTTCGACACCGACAATAGACTTCTACAGTATAGCTGACGAGTCCCACTAATATATTTGCATCTAGCTCTTGAAGATAATAAATTATAAGATTATTTTGTGTTGGAGCATCATTTGAACTAGTTTTCGATAGTGATGTGTGATTATCGATAAAGTGAGCCGCATCGTCCAAAAATTATGGGACGAAATTCCAAGATCACATAGCTAAGATACCCCGTAAAAAATCGAAACCAGATCTCTAAGACTTAGTACCATGAAATCATTTAAAACGTCATATTAAACTCGTTATTAAGGAATTGTGGCGGATTTATTCAAAAATTTTTATCAAACATAGAAATTTTTTTAAATAACATTGAGATGTCTATCGAATCGGTTGTATGTAGGAAATCAGGAAATCAACCTAATCGAGGAATTGCATATCATTAATTTTAGGATCACTATCGTTATGATATCCTGAAACTGACTGGCTTTAATAATTTGGAAATTAAAAAAGTAATTAAAAATTTTCTAATTTGTCTTAGCTCTATTCCTATCATTACTTTCACCTTATCTTAAAGGAATCCGTTAAAAAATTTAATTTTTGTAGATAATGAGCCAAATTTCAAGATTTTAGGTGCAACCTTTAATTTTCGTTTCATCAACATGGAACAGGATTAACTTAATCTGAAATTGTTATGTGCAGTATATCTCACTATGAAAAAGTCAAAGCCACATCTCATTGTAATCAATTACCTTTATGTTAATTGGTATGATAAAACCAGGTCTCCAACCATAATCCCCGCAATTTTCGCAATCTTACAGTACAAGTGATGAATTCCTAAGGAATTCAATTTAACTATAAATATATTAATGAAGAAAGTTTTATTGTTTCTCTTGACTTACTTTATACTTGTTAGTCTCGCCTACGAAAGCTATGATTCCGATCATGAGTCCGATTATTATTATGGTTATGATTATGGTGGATCTCATTATACTACTTCTCATCCTACTTCCACTCACAAAATTAGCAAGAAACCGAGTGGGTCTAATAACTCTCCAAGCTCTTACATCGAAGAACTTTCATCGTCTACAAATACACCTGCAACAAAACCGATAAATTTTGAAGTTGCAAATACACCAACAGTAGCTATAAATACACCAACATCAAAAGTTGATGCCAATTACGCATCATCTAGCACGTCCACTGCGTTAGCAAAACCGGTTCCATTATCTAGTGATGTTAGTCATTCAAAATCTAATTTAATGCCATTTTCTATGTGTATTTTGTTCGTTGCCGGCATTTTTATAACTCTCTAGATTTTTTACTGCAATGAAGGTGTATTATATTACTTTAGGATTTATAAATAAGAGAATAGTGGTTTTCTCACACATATTGGTGAACTCGGACATTATAATTTGTAAAAAAAAAAAGTCATTATTATAAAATTGACCCAAATATTGTAGTATAGTATTTTTTTTCTTTCACAATTTTATTATATAAGTATAGTTAAAAACATTTCACATGTACAAGGGTTAGGTTAATTCTGATTTAAATTATCGGGCAAATAAAAGAGAACTCTGTTGATTTAGGTGTATCTTTTGAATAGAATATTTTCTGATCTTGAAGAAATAGAGCATGCACTATGGGTAAAGTTGCTACCAACATTTTCAGCGCATCTGTTATACGTACGTCAAATTAAAATTTGCATCAAATCCTGTATAATGTTGCTGATAACTACTCGTAGGAAGACATTTATATGATTGACTCAAAATGTGATTATTGACCAATCAATCAAATGAATTTATAAAACAAGCGAAACTTATAAATAACGAAATCTTTACTTCTAAATGAGGTTACTGGTTATTTTTGATTATTTTTGATTAGTGAAATGAAAGTACGTACTTTAAACCATACTGTATAAACAAGTTACCTGGTCAATTGATTTGCATCATCCAATTACACGAAAGTCGCGACACTCACATGAACATAACAGCCGTTAAAAATAAAACAGAATATAATCATTGAAATCAAAAATTTTAACATCTACAAAAAATTGTGTATGTAAATATTTGATGTTTAAGAAATATTCGATTTTAACATGTTTATTTTTTAAATATAGCTTTAAAAATATATAATCACATATGAAAAAGTTAAAAATGGGACACATTAAAAAAATAGCCAATCAAATTGGTTTAATTCATATAAAAAATTTTAACCAATCAAAATCCAAGAATCTGGCCAATCAAAATTAAGCAACTTAAAAAACATCAAAAATCAACGTTTTAAGATATATTAAAAAATAGGACAAATGTAGTCTTAAAGTGTCGTGTACTGTACTTGATTACACAGATTATAGAGATCGCGCTTCTTAACTGCGTAATAATCTGTAGTGTAATTGGTGATGCGCGAGATACGAATGCTGTTGGTAGACCAGAAATATTCCGGTAAAATTTGACCGT